GGGCAGTGGCTCCAAGCCACCCCCAGCTCTCCCGCCTCCTTCTTCATCATCGCTGGAGAATCTTTCTGGGTACGATCGCTTTGTCACTCAAATTTCTCTCTTGACTCTAACAATACGGTACTGCCACGCGCACCATTTTGTCTGTGTTGATGGAAGCAGGCGTGGAGCAACGGCAAGGTGTACTCCCCCATGCATGGCGTCACGGTGAGCGGCAAAGAAACGAGGTACTCTGTTCTGCTGTTCGCGATGCCCAAGAATGAGCGCCCGATTCAAGCCCCAGTCGAGTTGGTGGACGACAAACATCCCCCCATCTTCAAACCCTACTACTACGATGATTACCTGAGGTTCTGCTTCTCAGAGGAGGGCATGATGCAACAGTGCAAGCTAGTCGCTTACTGCGGGACGGACGCAACCAAGGAAGCTGATGCATGATCGTGTCGTTCATATTACTGTTGTCTTTTCAGGACGTATTGCATCTTTTTTCTTTGGTAATAAGAATGGACTCTGATGCATTGCTGGATCCAGAGATTGCTATACATGAAGTCGTCGATCTCAAATGTAGGGTCGCTTGGTTGGTCTTCCCATGGTTTTTAAGAGCTTGGTATTTGGTAATGGTTGCACAGTGTGCCTTTCCCTTCTCGCAGAATGTGTAGTTCTTTTCTGCTTCGTTCAAGGAGACTTGTATCTGTCATCTTCTTTCCCTCACTCACGCTGCTTCGTTGAAGGAGGCCATACGGTGTTCTTTCTTTCAACAGGGTGCTCGTTTAAAGTCAGGGTGAAACCATCTGTCAGAACTGGTTTGCCTTGTGCTTTGGTTTCTAGTAAGATCGACGCATCCAAGAGCCACCGACTTTGGAACTTGGAACTGTATTGCAGATAGATCCAAAGCTCTCTCTCTCTCTCTCTCTCAAACATCTATTAATTATAAATGAGTTGCTTCCCGTCTGCCGCAAGCCTTCAGTGTCTCGCCATAACCAGAAGCCGTGACGTTGCAGCTGTCTGCTTCAAAGTATGCGTGAGCCCGACGAAGGCTGATCTGACTAAAGACCGAGTCCGGTGAAGCGCGATGATCGATGGCGAGGAAGGAGGAGCGGTTGTTGTTTCCAAGGAAGGGGGTGTTAGTGTAAACAACTTTTAAGCCGTGACCTCGGGGCCGATGCAGCTCGGTTCGGGTCCGGATGATGGGGATCTCCTTGGGACGTTTCTTGAGACTGCTGAGGTGGCTGATTGCGTTGGTTTGATCAGGACGGGGTCGCCGTTTCCTCCGAGAAGGGACTCTTCGCCTGGGCGTTTAGTGGGAGACCTCCGTCTTCGCACCTACACAAAGGTCGGGTCGGGGAGCTCGGCCCGACCCCTCCGACGATCAGGTTAGTGGATGGTCAAGGGGTTTTTTTTAGCTCAGTTCTCCTCCCTGCTCCTTCATAGCGTGAGGGTTTTTATAGTAATAATTACCGTTGCATAATGTGCCTGCCCGTAGGGAGCATAATCGTACTTCTGGTGGCGTCTGACATTGTCGTTGGCATGGCGTGAGAGATCGAGCCTGAGTAGGGTGTTATTGTGCATTGGTAGGCGTTTCAGTTTGCTTTGACCGGGTGTCTCATCGGGTCAACAAAGGCATGAGGCATCAACTGGGGCAGGTGATGTCACACGAGTCTTGTCGCAGTTCTTACCCTCATAATATTCTCCCCCCGAAGGAAGCTATGCGTTGGTTGTAGTGATGGGGTTCCGAGGCATGGCTTTAGCTTTGAGAAAGTGTCCTTGCCCGGGGCTTGCCGGCTCGACGCCCGGGGCGTGGGAGTCGTGGAGTTTAGCGACGAAGGGGGGCCGCGTTTACAGTGATGACCCTGGGCATTGTGCGGCCGAGGAGCACAGCTCAGCCGAGCAGGGGCTATGGTCTCGGGGAGGGTGGAGCTGAGGCGCACGACGCAAGCGAGCTGGCCGCGCAGGTGTGGTCTCGGGTAACATGCGGCCGAGGAGCATGATGCAGGCGGGCTGGCCGCACATGTGTGGTCTCGGGCAACATGCGGCCGAGGAGCACGACGCAGGCGGGCTGGCCGCGCAGGTGTGGTCTCGGGCAACACGCAGCTCTGGCCGCGCAAGTGTGGTCTCGGGCAACATGCGGCCGAGGAACCACTTGGTCTTTGATCAGCAATCCACTGCTTAGTGATGCGCAGACGCGAGAAGCCGGGTCGCTTCCTAGGGAAGCCCAAAGGGCCGTCACTTTCCGGAGTCGTTGATTTTCGAGGCTGATAAGATAAGAGCTCCAGGATCCGCACCGCGCGCCGGTGGGCTGCCACGTCAGGCCATATTTATGGTGAAGTGACGTTCGATCTTCCTGACGCAATATGCTCCAAGAGGGGAAGGCCGCCATTTTGGCAGGATCTGGGCTATAAATAGCGTATAGTTGGCTTCCTGCACATCTCGTTGCTTGCATTCGTTCGATTTTCTCTCCGGACGATTCTGTTTCACACCCATTGGCCGTCCCACTCCCCCTTCCAAGATTTGGTAAGGATGGCTTTTCCTCCTTTGCCTTCGTCTTCCTCGCCTTCCACCTCCGGTAATGTCGGAGAGAGGACGTTGTCGGCGAGCCCCCACTCATCATCCGTTGAGAAGGCTGCTAGAGCCCTCGAGTCGTTAATGTGGCCGCATGATCTCGACTCCACCGTGAGCGAGTTGTCGCTCGGCTACCTCTGGGGTCGCTATGGTATCCCGGAGGAATTTTCGCTCATTACCCCTGAGCTGGGGCAACGAGCGTACGACCCTATCCCAAGGGGTTTTGCGCTAACCTTAGACGCTTTTGAGGCCGGGTTGTGTCTCCCTCTTCACCCAGTCATAAGTTCTTGTGTCTTGTGGTGGCGCATTTCTCCCTCTTAGATGGCGCCGAACTCCTGGCGCTACCTGGTGGCATTCTTAGGGGAATGTCATTATGCCAATGTCACCCCGAGCCGGTCCCTTTTCCTTTTCTGCTTTCGTCTCTCAAAGGGGTCGGGGGGTTACTATCTGTCCGCCCAACCGGGCTTCCGGGTCAACGGGGCTCCTTCTAGCAACAAGGGGTGGAAGGAGTGTTTCTTCTACGTATGCCATCCGGAGGGCTGGAGCTTCGGGCTCCGGTGGGCGGCGCGTGCGATAGACAATACTGCCCCGACCCTAAATGACGAGGAGCGCAAGGGCCTTCAAAGACTTAAGGAGATTATTTCGGCCTCCCAAGTCATCCGGAAGATGACCGAGGCGTGGCTGGTTGAGGCGGGTCTGAGCCCGATGCCTCGAGGTATGCCTTTAGCGGATAGTGGCAGGGTTTCTATTTTCGGCATTTTAACCGATGTCAACATCTACATGCAGAGATGGTGAACCTCATTGCTGTGCACGGGGGGTGCTCTTCGTCGACCCCGTCGCCGCGTCATCAGGCCGACCTGGGTATCGGCACAAAAGAGGCATCAGTGGAGCTTGAAGCAGGCCGTCCTCGGAAAAAGGCCAAGACCGTCACCTCGAAGAAACCAAATCCGCCGGCAACTCAGCCAAGGGTGGTCGTTGTTGAACCGGGTACACGCGACCGGCAATAGGGCCTTGGTTGGGGGGAGGCCAGTCCGAGCAACGCGAGGGTAGGGAAGGCGCCCCGGGAGCCTTCCATCCGCGATATGTGCCACCTCCCAATAGGGGCGCAGAACGAGCCTTACCAGGCTCGTGTGATGGGCGAGCTTTCAGAGGGCCAACCCTCCAATTCGTTGGAGGCCCGGTGGGCTGGACTTACCCGCGAGACCCGGGTATGGGTCGACGGGGAGGCTGTGACCGTGTTTGTCCGAGGCGGGCTCCACCCCGACATGGCTCGGGAGCTATACACCATGCCCTCGGATGTACTGCTTGGTAAATCCGCCAAGTCATTGCTGTGTGTAAGTGTCTCACCCTCGGACCCCCACTTATACTTGGGCGGAATTTGTCCTATCGTTTTTTTTTCTTGCAAGGCCAACATTATACTATGGCGTTGGCAGACCGCATGCGCGATGCAGGTCGGGCCCTTGGCATTCTGTGCGATCGCAATGTCGAGCTGCGCAGGGAGATCGAGGAGGTCCGCGCCGGAGCAGCTCCGGAAGCGGTCGCAACGGTTGAGCAGAGCTCCTTGGAGCTAGAAGCGGAGGTGACGCGCCTCAAGTCTGAGGCGACGACAGCTGATCAACGTATCTCGACGCTGGAGGCTGAGGTCCTACGCCTCAAGTCTGAGGTGAAGGTGGCCGAAGAGAAAAACGAAGGGCTTCAGGGGCTCCTAAGGGTGACTCGGACCGAGGCACGTCTGGCCCGGAATGAGGCGGTCATCCTTACAAAAAAAACTGGAGGGCGCCCGAGCCGAGGCGAAGGGGGCTTCTGAGGCCCTGGCCGTCGAGAGGGATCTGCGGCCAGAAAAAGACAAGAAGCTGATCGAGGACTACAAGCAATCCTCGGGCTTCCAGCTCGGGCTGGTCCGGTCGGGGCAGGTTACCTATGAGTATGGGTACCGGATTGCCCTGGGCTGGTTCAGGACGCGCCACCCCATACTGGAGGTCGAAGAGAATCCCTTCGCCTCACTCCCCAAGGACCGAGACATAGACATGCCGGATGAGGTCCCCTTTGACGATAGTGTTGGGGGCTCCGACGATTATGGTAGAAACTTGTAATAATCTAGGGGGTCGGTCTGGTCTTGTAACCTGACTTTTATTTAAATGGAAAGTTTTGTTCAGACTTTTACTTCGCGTTTGACTATACAAAAAACTTCTTAAGATTTCGCACATTCCACGTCCTTGGCAAAGGGTGGCCTTCAATGGTTGCAAGCCGATACGTGCCGAGCCGGATGACGTCAATAACCCGGTAAGGTCCTTCCTAGTTAGAGGAAAGTTTGCTGCGCGTTCGGGTCGGGTCACTGACTTCAGTCCTGCATATGACTAGGTCGCCTAATTTAAACGGTCGAGGGCGGACCTTGCGGTTATAGATTCTCGCGACAACCCTCTTGTAAGAGAGGTCTTTCATGTGCACGTCAGCACGTCGCTCTTCGATCAGGTCGAGGCCGGCTCGTAGTCCTTGGGCCGATGTCTATTCGTCGTATTTCCCTGTCCGAGGGGTAGGAAAAACCACTTCGGGGGGCAGGACGGCCTCAGTACCATATGAAAGGCTGTAGAGGGATTCTCCGGTTGCGGTTTTGGGGGTGGTCCGTAGGGACCATAGGATACTGGGGAGCTCTTCCACCCAAGCCGATCGGGCTACGGTCACTCTCCTCCTGAGTCCGTCCAAAATAGATCGGTTGGTCACCTCGGCCATCCCGTTCGTGTGGGGGTGGGCCACCGAGCTGAACCTCAGCTAAATCCCATAGTTCGCGCAGAACTCTCGGAACCTTGTGCTGGCGAACTAGGATCCGTTGTCCGTGATGATGGTTCTAAGCAAGCCAAACCGAGTCATGATGTTTCTCCAGACAAACTTCTCCACTTGTCGTTCTGCGATCGTTGCTAGCGGCTCGACCTCGATCCATCTGGTGAAGTAGTCTACTCCCACGACAATATATTTCCGTTGCCCCGAGGCCAGAGGGAAAGGGCTGAGGAGGTCCAGTCCCCATTGCACGAATGGCCATGCGCAGTGAATGGGGGCGAGCGGGACTGCAGGCTGCCGAGGCGTCCGGGCGTGCCTCTGGCACGGGCCGCACCTCTGTACGTA